TGCGGGACCCTAATGAAATATGTGTAACAGGATTTTGAGAGATAGAGAACTTCGATAGATCAAAAGTTTGAGAGATTGGGAGTAAATTTGCTAAGTTACTGTAGATCACTAAATTTTTGCGACACCTTATTTTCCTGAAATAGTCATTGACTCTTTATTAGCAATACTAAATTTTCACAAATTGTGGCTATTGCTCTATATAATTTTTAGGAATACTTCTATACGCGAGAATGAAATGTTTGCAAGCACACCGTTTCGCGTAATTAAGCAAAAATAAAGTTCTTGCGAATAAAAAGTGATTTACAGTATATAGAGGGAAAAAACGGGACCAGGGTTTTACTTTGAGAGATCAAGAACTTTTAGAGATTGGAGTTGGAGACATGAAGAGTCACCTGTAGTCATTTATCACTGTGAGTTATCTCTCTTATCAGAGAGTCAATGAACCTTAATATACAACTGGGGAAATGTCTGTCATCAAAATTAATGTCTGCATAGCCTTTTTTTGTCTTTGGCTGCTTGTACATCTGTTTGTCTGTTTGTACATCCGTAGACTGCATATACCACTACTTTTCTGTTTATTTATCTACAGTTTTTGGCCTGTAATCGGTCTGTCTGTTTGTCTGCAAAAAAAAAAAAAAAATAAAATAACTTTGCTTATAACTTTTGAATGGTTGGTGCCAGGGCATATTTCACATGCATTTTCCTTGTGACAAGACCTTTCTTTAGTTACCAATATTTTTTACCCCTTTACATCATATTTCAGATACTGATTGGCAGCAGTCAGCAGAGTTTATCTGTTGATGCATCTTAGGTCAACAGACTATATCAACCAGAAAGTAGGTCACAGTGACCTACTTTGAAATTTCATAATTGTATCTCAATATTAAGGGTACTGAGAGGCTTACAACCATCAAACTTTATTAGTTGACTCACTTTGGTCCTGTTTTGTGTCAACCACAAAAGTAGGTCACTGTAACTACTTTTGGAATTTCAGTGCTTTGTCTGAATATTTATACCCCCACTCCGAAGGAGAGGGAGGTATACTGTTTCACCTTTGTGTATCTGTCTGTCCGTCCATCTGTTTGTCTAGCTGTGTGTCTGTCCATAACAAATTTTGGTCACAGTTTTCTCAGCAACTACTCATCGCAGATGCTTGAAATTTTAGCACACTCTTTGTTTAGGCATGCCATATGGTGGGATTCATTTTTGCACGAATCCGATGTCAACTTCCTGTTTATCCATGCGTCTGTCCATACCATACATAACAAATTTTGGTCACAGTTTTCTCAGCAACTACTCATCGCAGATTCTTGAAATTTAGCACACTTTTTGTTTAGGCATGCCATATGGTGGGATTCATTTTTGTACGAATCCGATGTCAACTTCCTGTTTATCCGTGTGTTTGTCTGTACCATACAAAACAAATTCTGGTCGCAGTTTTTCAGCAACTACTCATCGCAGATGCTTGAAATTTTAGCACACTCTTTGTTTAGGCATGCCATATCATTTTTGTACAAATCTGATGTCAACTTCTTGTTTATCTGTGCATCTGTCCGTACCATGCATAACAAAATTTGGTCGCAGTTTTCTCAGCAACTACTTATCGAAGTTGTTTGAAATTTTGGCACACTCTTTGTTTAGGCATGCCATTTGTTGGGATTCATTTTTGTATGAATCCAATGTCAACTTCAAGTTTATCTGTGCGTCTGTTTGTACCATACATGACAAATTTTGGTCGCAGTTTTCTCGGCAACTACTCATCACAGATGCTTGAAATTATAGCACACCCTTCGTTTAAGGATGCCATATGTTGGGATTCATTTTTGTAAAGATCTAATGTCCACTTCCTGATTATCACTGTGTCTGTCCATAACTGAACTTGTGTATTCACATCAGAGTGGGGGTATTATTAGTGAGCATTGGCTCACAGACTTCTTGTTCTGGTAAGAGGTGTAGAATCACTCAACATAGTCAGTCTTGGTGACCTACTTTTGGAATTTCAAGGCTTTTTTCTCAATACATATATTCTGGATACTAAGAGGCTTAGAATAGAAGTAGTAGGGTTGGACAATTTTTCAGAAAGCACTTTGAAGCCCTTGGGCCTCTTGTATAGTACCCTTGATTCAGCATGATGTCAAGGTCACAAAGAGAAGAGTATTTGACACTGTCTTGTTTGGCAAAGCATATCAAAAATATATGTTCTTGTCAATACATAGTCTAAGCTAGTTATCTCAAACTCAATGGGACTGAGAAAAATCATCCGAGACATCAGAGCATTTGAAATATCCAAGATAAAATACTTAAAGAATAAGGGGTTTGGACTTCCAAATCACTTAGACATATCCATGGTATTCAAGGTTGTTGGACCATGTTCAAAATACTGAAGTTCAACTCTAATTATATAGTCATGAAGGACCATAGGTATAATTATTAAGTTTTATATTGGTACACTTACTACCTTAATTGAGACATTTAAAAAAATTTCAGGGACAAAGCAGGAGGATACGGAATCCAGGCCATTGGTGGAAGCTTAATTAGTGGCATCCATGGAGATTATTTCAATGTCATGGGATTTCCTCTTCACAGATTTTGTGTAGAACTTCGGAATATATGCAAATTATGACAGTAATTTTCATGTACTTAACTGCATTTCATTAAATGTTTCATACTATAAATAAATCATTTTATCCCTGTGCTCACAAAGAATCAATTTTGTTCTGCTCTCTAAGATACAGTAACAAGAAGAGTGCAAATCTATTTGCAAGATTCACAAGTCTTTTGCAGCCAATTGTAGATTGTTTGTCACCATCTTGTTAATCTGGTTTTTCCTACTACAAGAGAGAGCATTCCTTAATCTAACATTTATAATTCATTGGATAAAGATAGTAAATACTGGGTCTCTCTCAGACTTTACGCCATTCCAAGTTTTTTCTATGTTTATGTCCACCCATCTTTCAAAACCTACATACCTATTCACAAAAAACACACTGACCAAAAAAGTAAAACACAGACTTTAATATGGTAAATTAAAGAATTTGATTTCATAAATTTATTTTTCTCGTAGAAAGATCTGTACTTTGGCAAAATCAAGGTATTAAATGCTTAAAATATACCTAGTAATATGACATATTGTAGACAGATCATTACAGAAAATGACAGAATTTAAAGATTTTAACCAGAATAATCAATTTCAGGTTTCCTGATTTTGTTTGTTTTTTCTGATATTGGGTGTCAAAAACCAAGGCGCACGTGGACGCTAAACATAGAAAAAAAAATTGGAATGGCCTCACCATACTAAAAACCTTGGGATGCAAGCTAGATGGTTGTTTACCAGATGTGATGATTTTTTGAAATCAGCTTTTGTATGTACCTTAACTTTTGTTCTTAATTTTGGGTTTAATTTACAATGGAGTTTCAGATTTTAGATTGAAATTTAGGTGGAAATAATTTTTGGATTCATTTGAAAAGAAAAAACAACAACAAAAACTAGGTGTTAGCTCTGTTATCTCTAATTTAGATATTGGACTCCAAATAATTTAAGAAAATCCAATTGTGAATGTGGTAAAAATGTTTTTTTAGCCATTGTTTACATTGTGTGGCTTTTGTGAAATTAGCTATGTAATGGTTGGGCCATGGATATTGGCTTGGGTAGCTCAGTCGGTAGAGCACATGACTAATGATATAGGGGTCCAATCATACTTTTCTCCTTTCCTGTTATTAGTCCCCTACCGGTGAAACCGGAGGGGACTATAGGTTTCCTCTGAGTCTGTCCGTCCGTCTGTCTGTCTGTCTGTCTGTCCCTCTGTCTGTCTGTCAGTCTGTCCCACTTGGTTTTCCGCATTTTTCTTCTAAACGCTTGCAGATATTGAGCTGATTTTTGGTATGTGAGTGTATCTTGATGAGTTACAGATCAAGTTTGCATTTCATTCCGCTTCATTGATTTTTGACCGAATTATGGCATTTTCAATTTTAACGGGAACCAGATTACACTTGCCGGTAGGGGACTAGTATTGCTAATGCAATACTCTCAGAATGCTTGTTTAATTTGGTGCCATTGCCTTGCAGTTGAAAGTCCTGCAAGGGGAAAATAAGAACTTGGATTGTGTCTTCGAGGGCGAAACAATTTAAGGAGGGAGGAATGTAAAGGATTGGGCCGTGAATATCAGCCTGGGTAGCTCAGTCGGTAGAGCACCTTACTGGTGATGTTCGATTCCCAGTCAAGCCATACATTTTCTCCTTTCCTGTTACACTGACAATCAACATTCCAAAAAAAAGCTCAAAAAGTTCCATTCAAAAGAAAATTTTCACCACTTTAATGCACATCATTGTATATTGCAAAAAGATAAGGGGTTATGAGGTTGAATTCAAATACTGTTTTCCAGTTTAACATGGTTATAGCTAACTCCTGCACACAACACAAAATGCTTCCGCATTTTCTTAATATTTTCCTTGAGTGTACGTGTAGGTACAGTCAAGCTACTGTAAACCAACTATTATTCACGTCATCTTTTATTCGCGATTCATCAGTATGAAATCAATCTGTTACCATTAATTTTCGTGACTAGGGAAACATTCTCTACAAAAGCAAAACTAAAAGTTAGCAGGGATTAATATTTGCGAACTAAAGTAGGTCGCGAAACTCACAGATATTTCTCACACGTTGGTTTACAGTATCCTTTATAGTACGTAATGTGAACATTTCCAAGTTTTTCGTATTTCGGATAAATAACAGTTTCGACTCGGCTTTGGACCCTAGAATTTTTATTTCTGGTATTTGAAACAATATATCAATGACCAAGATTCTCAAGATAAACTGAGTAACTTCAAAGTATTTATAGTTAATATTAGAATCCTTGTTGATACAGTGAAATGTCCTTCATCTGCATATTTTTTACACATCATTTCCAACAGATTTGACATCTTGGATGACTGGAATCTGATTTGTCATTTCCTTCCCTTCATATTTGTATGAAAATTGACGTTATATTAAAAACAAAAGATTGAAGCAAACAAAATACTTTATTGAATTCCATTCAGTTTACACGCATAACAAAAACCTGTGAATACAGTTAAAAATTTTCCATTGTACGTTGATATATTAACATGAAAACCTGACATACAAAATAAGAGATCAAAATTTAACCATCAGTGTTAACGTCTAAGTATATAGTTCTACGACTAAGCACTATTGCATCAAAAATTACATAGAAAATAACACAAATTAGTATAAAAACAATGCATAAGGTGTCCTTTAACAATTTCTTTTTCAGCCAGGTTGAGTTGGGAGGCCTGGGCATTCAGATCGCTAACAGGATGACAGTGAAAAAAAACCATATACCCATTCAAAAAACAACAAACTTCTAAACTAATCACCTCACAGTAATGTACATGGTTGGTGACCAATCACAAAAGAGACCTGGTGTGTGTGACCTTCTGGGTTCATCCTGCTATGTTGACCTTTCCGCAGATTGGCAAACTTTTTTTTATGATTGGTCACCTGGGATGATGGGAACCGAATTTTTCAGCCATTCACTTTAAGATGGAAAAGACTTCAATTCTTCAAGAAATGGAATGTGTGAAAAGCAAAAAAATCCTGGTCCAAATAAAGACTAGTGAACAAGACCTGACCAAGTCACACAGCCAAACACTTGTAAAACCCTGACTGCTTCCAAATCAGACGTGGACGGAAACAACCACTGAAGACTTCTTAAAAAATTTGACGTGATTAAGACACCTGAACTCGTATTCACTAATATACTGAAATGACAATCATTTAGACTTCTAGATACAAGAAAATTAGAAAATGAATCATTCATACTAATTAAAGACCAATGCATGTGTTTCTTGCACCCAACTGTCCTTATTCCCTGAATGAGTATTTTAAACCGGCAAGAATTGCGCACTGACTTATGTTCCAATGCAATGACTTGTACAAATTGGAGAATACTTTTTTGCAGTAGTCTAGTCTTTGGCTTTAGAGGTAAAGGGCTTGTTAGTCCTAGTGTGACTTTGTCAGGTGTTCTGAATATCTTTTGAACAGATAATGCTTACAGCTATCTGCAAACTTTCATTTCAAATTCAACATGTCATCGGACACACAACAAAATAAAATGGTTCCTTTTCAGAACATTACCATTTTAACACACCATGAGTGAGAACTACTGATCTAAATAACTACACTGAAAACAGCAAAGCAAAACTCTAAAAGAAACTCAACTTTTGTACACAGGATTACAACAAAGAAAAACATTCACACTAAATGCTAAATAACAAAAAAAAATCTTGGTTACTAAACTTAACGTTAGACCACCATTTCAGACCAGATTTCCTGGGTAAATGCCATTCCACTCTGATATATATTTCCTTTCAAAATTAATTTAACTAATCATTCCTTTACAAACACTGAACTGTTGTACAGGGGTCTAGAAAATTGCATAAAGTGGTAAATTAGTTAAAGACAATAAGCATATATTTCTACCTAACTGTAAATGTAAGTATAAAAAGGTCAACAAAAAAGGGATTAACTGGCAGACTTTTGTTTATAAAACATATCAACGAAAAAGAAAATCAACATTGCAAAAAAAATTTCTTGCTCTCTGCTACTTTGAAATATTAATGCTGAACACCCTTTGGCAAAATTTCTCCAAAGAAATAACAAAATCAAGATTCCACACCTATCCAATTGATATATCCTATGAATTTCAACCAATGAACTTGATAGATCCCTTCTATAGAATATTCTCATTTAAACTTCTACAACTTTGGAAAATTTCCTTTCAAACATACACATTCAGTCATTAATGGTGTATGTTATTTGGCCATGTTATGGAGAGCATTCAAAGGTTTTTGCCTCTCAATTTGATGAAAGCAAGCAAAAATTCCATTCAGTCCCAACAAACACTTTTTTTTTTTTTTATAAAATTGTTTTTTTCTTTTTTTTTTTTGTAAAAAAAAAATTCAAGTCTAACAATAACAATATATTCGAAGGATGGGGATTCTTATGACTTGTAAAATATGCAATGATGTAAAATATGCAGCAAATCACAGAGAAATTTGTAGTGTTATGTCATGTATGTAATCTCTGATTCACTATTCAAGTTTGCTGTGAAGTTGATGATGCTTTTTGATAGGGTGGTCTCATTCAGAAGTTAGATTTTAAAGCTCCCTGTCAATTTTGAGTGATGTTCTGTTTGATTAACCATTGTTAAACTTGCTTTTCTGGATTCTTACACAACATAAATAATCCAATAAAATAAAATATCCCAGAATAATACAGGACTGGAATGAAGCATTTAACAACAACACGATAAATGTCTGTATGAATAACTTATAAACTGCACAACATATTAACTAACTATATTATTATATAATACAACTTTATATTAAAGATCTTATTTTAATAAAAGACATTTACAAATAGAGTAAGAATCAACACTATACTACTATTCAGAACCCAATCATATTTTGGCGCTATCAATGCAAAATAGGGAAAATAGCCTCATATTTTGTAGAGTTTTACATCTGGAGGAAACAAATCCGCATTTCAACTGAAAAACTTTGATGGGAAAGGGGTGTAGAACAAATCTGAACATAAAAAAAAAATCAAACTCTTCGGACCTATTTAAATTTTACAAAGAACATCATCCTTTGCACCAGTATGGTTCCCCAGTCTAGACAGATGCCTCAATTAGTACGACATAAAAAAAAAACACGAATACTTGTAAACAAAGAAGAGAGTCCACATGCACTTTAAGGATGCACTTTCACCCAATTAATATCATCTGCTGATCTTTGTGGCTTAACTGGGACTTTTCCAAATAAAGAAAGAAAATACAACAATATAATTTAAACTAAGGAATAAGAAACGAGTACTCACTTGCAATATACAGAACATAGAAGACATTAACTTGAATACAATAATGCCAGTTTTGTAATTTAGATGACTTAAAGAGAGAAAAATACATGAATTCCTTGCCATTTCAATGTAATGCCAATGGCAATACCCTGGAGAAATTGCAAGCTATTTTACCACCTTCTAAATTAAAGAATGTGGTATATTTTGATAAAATTATCTAAATTCCTGAAGTTGGCAAAACTATAATCACAGATAAACTAAATAAGGATTCACATCAAAGAACATAATAAAAATCTAACTACAGAATAATTTATGATTGTATTGACCACATAGATGACCGATCAACTGAAATATAAATAAGGGGGCAAACAAAAACAAACCAAGGTTATATAATGGCACAGAGTTATAACAGCTTGATTGCCAAAAACACTGACACTCAACAACAGTGGTGGGCAGAGAACTGCCTCCTTTCCAGAACTATTTCATACATTAAAAATCACCAAAATCCACCATTTCAATATTCAATTACAATAAATAAATCATCATATTAAAAATTTATACCATTATTTTTAATATTCTGGAATAGAAGAGTTGTTCTCAAACCACATAACATTTGGATTAGACATATATTATATATATTTATATATAAAGGAGGCCACACTATTCTCCGAGGACAAAAACTGCATGAATGTCATTCAATGAAATGTCACGACAGTTATTTCCCCCCAACTTCAAGTTAGTAAACATAATATTTGACACACACGCAATGACTATACACACAAGGGCCCTCAGAACGGCAGCTAAATACAAGTCAACAAATACAAAATAAATTATCAACAAAAAATGTGACTGGAGGCAAAGTTCAATAAAAATCTCGATTCATAAATGAGCATAGATGAACACCGTATAATTATTGGTCGTATCTTTTTAAAATCAACGACAAAAACAGTAGTAGAGCATAAACGGGGAGGAATGTTGTCAAACAGTCAGTTGTCATCGGATTGCCGAAGACTCGATTCTTTTAGGGGAAGAAGAACATGTTCCTGGCTTTAAACTCCCACCAACACTGAAGTCTAGAACAGTGCTAAGTGTCTGCTGGTTTGTAGAACATGCAGTTGTGATAAAATGGTTTCAAGTCAATTACAAACAGAAAGAGTGTGTGCATGGAGAAGATGCTTTCAGCACCATTGGCAAATTGCAAACATAATGCAGCCATTCTCTCAAAAGAAAACAACTTAAAAAAAAAACATGGCCTTATTAAAAAAAAAAAAACAGTGCTTAACTTTATTGTATGTTTACATACGTAATAAATCTGCTGAACAGCAGAGAAAGGATGAATAACTTGCAAAAAATGTAATAATTTGGTTTTATCCATCTATCTAGCTGACAAAAAATTTAACCAATGAAAATGAATTTTACATTACTTTCTTTCCTGGGCAAAGCCAATGAATGTAGACTTAACAATTAACTTTTACACAGGAAGGAAGACACTGTGGTAGATTTCAACACAACCTCCCAAAAACAACAATTTTTTAACAGCATTTTGTAGAAAAATAATCAATGTTTATGAACACACTCAAGTACAACAATACTTCAAAAAAAAAAATTGAGAACCACTAGCATGAAAGAGCATGAAATGACCAAGTCTAACGGTTAGCACCATGCTGTAACAATAAAATTTATAACATTCCTTTTGCTACATGATGGGGTAGATATGAATGAAAATGAAAAGCTGATCTTTGTTCACTAACAAAAAAAAAAATTGCAATGTAGAGTTTTGTTGGGGGGAATACAAAAAAAGTCTAACAATATGGCAAATTATCGTGAGGAAAATGCAAATGCTATGGCACTTTCATGCTAGTGGATGTTCAAGCCAAGAAGCAACTTTTTCACAATTTTTTTTTTTTTTTTAAGATATTTTTAACACTATTTTTATGGAAATTTTTTTTTGACAAGACTGATATGAAACTTTCAGTTTGATAACAATATAAAATAACCCAAAAACACTGGTACAGGGAAAGCAAGCCATGACCATTTTTGTTCAAAAACCAAATAAATTCTAGCAATATTTTTATACATACTTTTTTTTTAAATACAAAAATTGATGTTTTCCTTGGAAAGCTCATTAAAATAACATTACAAAAAACAGCCAAAAACTTATAGTACAAATCTTTTAGTATAAAAATACAATAATACAAAATGCTATGTATCTTCCTACCCCCACCCCCTTTCAACATTGCACAAAAACCATGTATTTAAAGCTACAAAAAATTCACTTTCAGAGCACATACATAGTAAAAAAAATCTTTTAGTTATACAATGCTTTGCTATAAAAAAAAATTTGCAGCCATTACATTGTGACTTGAGAACCTTACACCCGATTTTATAGCAACGTACTACTAATCACTCCTCAACGTGCCTGCACTTTCTTATCAAAGTCTGGATTTCCCTACCTTTTGTTCTCTTTTTCTCTGTAAATTTTATTTTTCAAATCATCTGATTAAAAATATTAAGTTTTGATGGCTTTTTTTAAGGCAGTACATAATGATCAATGGATATGAAGCCTCATTTTTGACTCCTTTTGCATATTTTATTGAGAGTTGACATTAAATTGCAGTATATTTTGATCTTTGATTCTCTGAACATTGAGGTAGCACTCAAAAAAAAAAAAAAAAAAAAAAGATTATCCTATCTTACGGCAAAAAAGCACACTCAATAAAACACAGTGAAATTTCTAACCCATCTCTGTGTAATATCCTCAAAAAATACCAACAACGAGAAAAATATTAATAACTTGGAAAAAATGAAAAAGAACAACTAGTAAATTAAACGACTAAATAACACTTATATATATATAACATAACACAATTCAAACTATTAAATAATAACTTACAAAAGCAGGCATTTCATTTACAAATTGTGAAGAAGAGCCACAACAAAAACACGGCTATCACATATTAAGAACAAAAGGCTTTCGAATTTGTGTACAGAGTCTTGAGGTGTTTCAGGGGGCTCACACTCATAAAAGCTGCTGGAACAGGCACAAAATTGATGAAAATACTGATTTTTGTATAAATTTAACAGTAATGGCATGCAAAATGATTAAAAACATGACATGTGCCTGTAACACTGCTCATACAAGGCTTACAATACTAAGGTTTTCTTGCCCCCTATTTTTTTTTCCCTTATCCATACTTGGCATCATTTTCAAATGTTGACTAGAAATGAACATTTGAGTAATACAGTAAATAAAAATGGAATTTTATTCCAGTCATTTCTAAAGCAACACTACCCCGTAAGTTGCTCTTGGACGCTGAGTTCACTTTGTTCCAGATTCAGCAGGTCTCTGCTTGATTATTACATAGGAATGCCGGGTATCTGTGCATACCGGTAAATGTAGAGACGATAGTCCTTGCTTGCTAACACAACAGAACCATCATCCATCAGGGACACATCGAAACATTGTGCGTGTTTTACCTTGCTCTCTAAGGCATTGATAAGCTGGCCATCTTGAGTGAAAATCGTGAGATTGAAGTTGTTGTGGTTATCAGCGACAAGGATTTCCCCAGCACTGTTGATGCCGACTCCAATTGGGTAATTGGTAATGCCCTCTCCTCCAATCTGTCTCAAAAAGACACCCTGGTAGTTGAAGACCTTCACACAGTGAGCTCGATTATCGCTGATGAAAATTTCTTCCTTGTCATTAACGACGACTCCGTTAGGAAATTCAAGATGCTTGGAACAGCCAAATTTGTGGATGACATTTCCAAATTGGTCAAAGATGATGACTCGCATGACTTTGCATTCCACAATGACAATTCTTCCCTTGTTGTCTACAGTCACTCCTCGTGGATGCTGGAGTATGTTGGCACCAAATTTACGAACAAACTGTCCATACTGGTTGTAGATCTGTATTTGGTGGGTTGGACTTCTTTCAGTGACAATGATGTCTCCTGAAGATTTCACTACAGCAACTCTGTTTGGATAAAGCAGCTGACCATCCCTCTTGCCACATTCTCCAAACTGAAACTTGAATCTTCCTTCTTTGTCAAAGATCTGGATCCTGTGGTTATTTGTGTCGGCAACAATGATGTCATTCTGTGCATTAACAGCTACCCCACTTGGCTCTGTGAACTGTCCTTCCATGACACCAAACTCTCCAAATTTGCAGTGGTAGATCATCTTCTGTCGCTTCAGCTGTGACTTAGGTGGGTACAGACTGGTAAGGTTAAGCTTAGTTGATATGTCAAAGAGTGGATCAGCACTGGTGGAAAACACATCAATTCCATTCTGAAAAATGTCCATTCCATTAGACCATTTTTCATACATGTTAGTATCTGCGGGTGGAAATATGAGGCTATTCTGAGAGCCACCGAAATCTTTTGACAGCATGGGAGTCTCAAAGATATGGCCATTGGTTAGGGGTGGTGAGGAGGATGTGGAGGTGGTAGCAGTGGTTATGACACCATTTGGTCGGGCAATTGGAGGTGGTTTCTGTACTGGAGGAATGATGTCTTCAGCCTCACGGATGTATCCAAATGTGTTGCGTACACCAGTGGTGATGGCCTGAAAGTTGGACACAAACTCGATATCAAAATACATATGATTGTTGATATCGGGGCAGAAGTTGAACATATTTTGAAATCGTTGTTCCACCAAATTCTTGAACATCAAAGCTTCAGTGATGCTTGCATATTTGACAACTTTGTCAACAAATTCACATCCCTGGAAAAGACGATCGATGTTGTCTTGGATCTTCTGGGCTAAGGAACTAATGGCAACTTGCTTTGTATTGAAAACCTGATCCAGCTCCTTCAGAGATTCTTGTTTTCTCTCCTCCAGCATTGCTCTGTAAAAGTTGTACGTGTCATTGATATCATTCTGAGCTTTATGGTACTGCACCTGCAGACGACTAGAAATGTGTTCTATCCCTTTGGCTGCTACACGCAGTTCGTTGACTTTGTTTTTCGCATCCTCTTCCATTCTCTGCAAGACTTCCATCTGCTTTTCTCCGATGTCCATGATAAATGAGCAGTCATGGCCTCTCCCATGGTCAAAAACTGTGCACTCTTTACAGATGGGCTGTACACAGGTTTTGCAGAAGAACTTTAGCACATCTGTCTTGTGTCTGGGACAGTAGATAGGTTTCTCTGACTTGCCACTGCCATTCTCATCTTTATTGCCTTGAATCTCACTCAGACTAGCTACTCTATGTCCCTCAAAGCAGTGCATAAACTGGTGAGCCATGACACAGTTGGCACACAAGAAGTTTGCACAATCAAAGCACCTTGCAACAGCGTTGGTTTCTTTGCTTTTGCAGCCTGTGCAGTGTAAGGCACTTGTATCTAATGCGTTGGTTTCCAATAGGTTGCTTACAGCGTAATCGGGCAGGAGACCTGTCAAGCCTTGACCTCCAAGGAATGTGTCTTGGTGGCACTCTGGGCAGCTAATCTTGTCTGCAACTTCTTGAAGTTTTTCGAGACAGGGTTGGCAAAATGTATGAAAACAGCTGAGGACTTTGGGTATAGTGTATGTTTCTTGACAAATTGAACAGCGGGTATTAGGCCCATTGGCATTTTCCATCTCGCTGTCGGACGAGTTGGAGGCGGTAGAGGCCGTGGTGACTGTATCGCTTTGGGATGGTGTGGGTGATGACATGATGTCTCGTTTCAAATTGCACCTAAAAATAAATATAAATGCATAAATACATAGCTTAATTAGTGGATCATTATGCCAACTGGTTGATTTTCCTTAGATAACAGTTCAGTAATAATTTTCTTTCATAATAATTATAGCAATCACAATCTTTATTCCAGTGTATTGCATTTATTTATTTTGACAATTTATTATTAATTACTATATTTATCACAGTAGCTTTGTACTATTTTTGAAGTGGATGAATTTATATAATGCCTTGAGGTAGAAAACTTCTAAATTTTATTTACTGTCACCATGAAAGTTCATAAAATGAAAGCAAGGGAAAAAATTGTCTGGATCAGAACATAAATATGCATTAGCAAACTTATGCCCTAGACTCTTAGCATTATCATGATTGTACAACAACATCAGTAGAACAAAGATTTGTGGCAGATTTATACTGTAACCAGATCCTTCCTATCTGATCTCAGCAGCCATTATAACTGCTGGCTGCAGTCACTACTGTTGGTAAGAACAGACAGTCAAGATTGGGAGAGCACAACTCACTGTGTCTTTTGGGGCCTTTGACCTCTAATTCGGCTGATGTTCTTTAATGAACCACACAAGTAAAAAGAGGCCAAAAGTCTCATAAAAACATTTCTTTGTTCCTTGAGTGTTTAAAAATAGTGTGACTAACTCTACGCTGATCATAATGTAAATAAAATTTATGCTAACAGATTGAATTTCATTCTGACAATGCGATCCTCTTTGTATGCTTAACAATAAAATCCTAATATAATAACTGAAAATCACAATTACCTCAAATTACCAAAACCTAGTGAAAAACAGTTTGAGTGTAAATGACCATTTTCTACATTTTTTGTTAACTTAGGTTATCACTTCACATGATCATTCATTTAAATGACACATGAACTTCACTCCCATGGCTAAATACCTAAACATTAATTTTCTGGTAAACAAACAAGGCCAGTGACCGTGTATTCATATATCAAATCTCCAAAAAGAAATTAAAGTTATAAAGTGAAACATTGTATCTTGTCAATCTCATGAAGCAAAACTTAAATAGCCTGTGTTATGCTCATAAATAAAAAGCTGCTATAATTATAGAAAAAAACTAAGATTCTGGATGTACAGGAAACTATTTTTTTGTGTTCTATAAATAAATATACATACACCATGTACACAAACACTAAACAAATGAACTAACAAACAAAAAAGTTAAATATCCCTGATATCACCTGAAGAACCATGAATTCCATTATTGGTTTCAATCACAAAATCTCTGCAGAGTTAAATCTGGCCTGAAACTGTATTATCCTTTGCAGGTGTGTCTGAAATGGGGCCTTACTGAGGCGTAAATAATTTCTCCAAATGCTCTGCTGAATAAACCATTAGCTGCTTCTTTAGAACAAAAAAAAAAACCCACACAACCAGATCCTCCTGTGTCAGATTTTTTCAAACTGCCCAGTCTGACAATTTTTTTTCAGAATGACACACTAGTCTTGGAGAGAAAATGGCAAGCCAACAAGAGACCTGGTTATGACTCAAAATGATCACCAGACGGAAAGCATGACTCATTATGTTGGTGAAACATTTTTCCAAAGTGCTTAGCAGGCAGGCAGAGGCTTGATCATCCTCCAATAAACTCTGTGATGCAGAATTATTATTGGGGAAGGATTTTAAATGACAATCACTTTAACCAGCCACTCAGCAGTTGTACCTGCATAAATTAAGCATTCATCTTTGGGATAAAATCAGAGTTTTCCTCAAATACCCTGCATCACTTTTATTTTGGAATATTGATTTACAATTTTTGCAGTCTGCTTGGAATATAATTGTTTTTATCTGATGTTTCTTTGTTTAGATACAGGTGTTAAGTGATGCATTTCAAATTTTGGGAACAAAGAGAAACCGAGTTCCTTATGATTTTCTGCTTCAATTTGTCATCTGTATAGTGATGTAGAAATGATATTGTGGGGCACAACAAAACATCTGCCATGTATTGCTAGATCTATCTTAGACTTGAAAGAATGGCAGTCACCACAGGATTAAACTTTATTATTATAATTATTATAGGATTATTCTCTTTTCAAAATTTATCAATTGTTAACTCATGTCTTTGTACTCATAAACTGAATAAAAGGATAAAAAAAAAATCAAAAAAAAAATCAGGTTTCCAACTTTCAAGTGAGTTAATTCTAAGCTAAATTAAAATACATATATGCTTTCTTCCTTTAAAAAAAAAATGAAGACAGTCATTTGTTTTATATGTGTTGGTTTTAGTTTTGCAGCGGAGACATATCTTAATATTGGTCACTGGACTATTCACAAAAGTCATTTAATTCAGAATTGCCGTCAGCAAAAACAGATCAAAGGAAATTTTAGTAGCAGATGGTAGCTACTCTATCACTATAGTTTCAAAAAAAAATTATAACGGCATAAATGCTAAAATTAATTATCATTTGATTTTCTTAAGATCTGAAAAATATCAATCCTCCAAAACTTAGCAAATATCTATAAAGCAAAAATCAGTACATGGCTTCAGAAGCATTCCAGTTCCAGAAGCAAGCCCCCCCCCCCTTCCCAAGGCTCTGTCAAATGCATTATGACATGACAAGATGACATCAAATTAACCCCCCCTTTCCCCATTTAAGAAATGTTTATTAAAAAAAAAATTTACACTGTGGTCTTTGATGCAAGTCAGTGTGGTTATAAACACAAACATGGTTTTTTATGTAAGGTCCTCTGTTAAGATTTTCCGAGTACAATATTTTTCATAAAACCAGATAAAAAGAATTCTAATGCAATTGTTTTGTAAAACACATTTTGATTGGCTAATACACTGATGTTTGAAGCAGTAAAAGGAGCATTAATGAGAACGAAAGCTTTTCATTGTGACATCATAATAGAGCAACTCAAAAACACAATGCTCCATGATGTATTTCATATATAAACAAAATTCAACAAAATAAAATGTAAACATCAAACAAAATGCATAGATTGCATTAGAATGGGAATAACTATCTTCTATTTTGCTATTTGCGACCAGTAATGCTGATTTAACGGTCTCAAACATCCATTTTACCGGCTCCGCTTATGTGTTGCCGATAAAACCCAGTTTTGGACAGTTAAATCGGCATTAACAGTCGCAAATACCAAAATAGAAGATAGTTATTCCCTAATTTATATCACTTTCATAATTCATTTAAACCATAGTGTTATATTAGCTTTTGACAAACCATGTAAATACTTGAGGGATTTTGTGAGATGTTGCTATCAAATCACAACCTCATCATTCAAATAACAAGCTTGTCAACAGGATTCAGAAAAGTCTCTCTCTCTCTCTCTCTCTCTTTTTTTTTTTTCCAAAATATAGTACTATAAAATTTTCTACCTTGTTTTTCTTGCCTGTATATATATTATGCTTGTATGGATATAAGGTTTTAAAACAAATGCTTTTTCTTTTTCAAATCATGGTGCTTACAGCATTATGCACTGAAAACAATGCATCTCAAATTTCCACATCTACATACATGTATGTGTAAATCCTTCTCTCTCTGATCCTAACAATGAGATGGCTACAGTGAACAGCTGATTCTGGAAACACTTGAATTAAGTGCCCATAAGTGTAAGTCCTTCCCCTTATGTCATATACATATCTCGAACACTGTATGTACATTAACTCTATATATGCACATAGCTTTGGTAGGATAACAGATGTGACCATGCATATAATTCTTCACAATAAAATTTAAACAGAGAAGAGCCCAGATACTGGAATCATTTAAAAAGTCTTGAAGCAACGATGATTCAGTTATAAATTGTGCTAAACAGTTACATAATACCTACAAGGGAAGCTACTGGTACAATGTGACCAATTCCACAATAATTAATTTGGTTGCTTTGGTGACCTTTACAAGACAGTTCAGAAAAAAATGTGATGACTAAAACACAATCTAGAAAAATCAGCAAAAGGCCACATAAATTTAACTGTAGATTCTCATCCTAACTTGCTTAAAAATTGGGCCAGATGGGCAAATTTTACTTTTAATTATTGAAAATGTCTACAATCTCTACATAATTAATATTTTTCTTATATAATATTCTCACAATATGGATAGATTTTATCATTTATTCTTTTAATAAATTTCTAAAAAAAAAAAGTTCTTCTTATACATTCACTGTTTATGATTTTACAAAAACACACATACGACACATGCCACACACAACTGCTGCTATGAAATGGGGCGTGGATCCCAATAAATTGCACATGCTGTTGCTGGTAGTCAATACTTCTCAATGGCTTGCTCTAAATATGTTTAAGTTTGGCCAACTCTTTTGTTTTGTGCAAAAATATTATAGATTTCCACTGTCCTTTAATAATACATGTGCATCCAATTTTTTAATCTTGACACATTCAATATCATCATTTTGCAAACCAGTGTGCTTAAATTATTGCATAGAATAGCCTATGCTGAACAGTTCTAAGGTTGACCATTTTCTTAGAAACCTTTTTTTTTCCCTCAAAATACAAAGTAACATACAACTGCCAATCGCTGTGAGTTGTTAAATTTTTTAAAATTGTAATTTATTTTTGTTTGTTTTGCTATACTTTTACTTTGTTCTGATATCTTTAAAAGCTTACTGACGGTATTTAGATATGTATCAAAGTAATAAATATTGAAGTGTTAATTTTGCTTTTTCTGCCTTCTCTAAACTGGCAAATCATCTTTTTCGTATATATAGGTAAACTGCTTTTCTTGCCAATTTTTTCTCCATTCTCTACATGGCTTTTGTGCTATAAACAGTGTCACGCGACTTTTAATATAAATGCGACTTTTAATATAAACGGGGGGTAACTCTTTAAGTTTGACTGATTCTTCTAGAGTAAAAAACTTTAAAAGTAATAAATACTTTTGATACAAACAAAAAAAACTTAAAAACAGGATGGGGGCACTTAAATTGAGAGAGGCAGGCAGGGATGAAAATCTAAATTTAATTTTATATGGCCTAGTACACTGAAGATTACTGTACACTACAAATTCATGAATAAAGTAAATGGAGGGAGACAGGTCATTTACTTCCAGTCATTTAAACCTGAAATTTATGAAAATCTACCTGAAATCTTTAAAGGGTCAAAGAGAAATCCAGATTATGAAACCATTGTGGCGGGTTGGCAAGGCAACTAGGATAACCATTGTCTAAGCAAGTTTAAATAGCAGCCTTTTAGATAAATTTCTTGCCCAAAGGATAAGCAAATAGAATATTTCTGATAGGATAAGCAAATAGAATATTTCTGATCACTCCCCCAAATCAACTAGTTTTTTCATCCCCTAGCTGTTTAAATTCAAAACTTTGTAGAATAAAATAATACTGTGGAAATTATTGGCAATTCAATAATTTATATTTTAAAAGATGCAAAACTATTTAAACTAAATATTTTTTTAGGAACCAGTATAACTGAAAGACCCAAGGTTTTAATGTTGCCAAATATTCTGCAAAATTAAAATGTATATTGTAAAAGATACAAAATACAGTTAACAGGGTTGCAAATAACCACTCGCAAATGTGAGTAATTTTGCCTGTAGGTGACCAACTCTTGAGGATGTTATCGCTCACATGGCAAGTAAGAATTTTGTCGGACCTTTTCCGGAACCAGATCGTGGTTTGGTTCTACTATTACATGCACTTTCGTTTTCATTGTTTTCTTCCTAAAAAAACATTTTCAAAACCAAGAATCATGCCAAAGTAAAGGTATGAAAATTCTTTATATGTATCAGTGGTAGTGGGTTTTCGTCCATATCCCATTAAGATGCACTGTGTATTATTCACAATTAGCAGCTTTATACTCATTAATTTTCCTCCTGAAATAAGTATGTACGAAAGACGTTTTCTGATCTTTTGCTGCTACCGTGGGTTAAAATATTTCATGATGAAAGTCGGGAGAGTATGATTTCTGTAATTTTACGACAGAAACATATAATTCAAAATATATGCCTTGAAGTGAATGAAAACATGGGAATTTCATACAAGTGGTGTCAAAATCTGCAGGAAAAATTGAAAAGAAATACTGTGGACAACAAGATATGTTTGTGAAACACTTATGCCCCCCTTAAACAAATAATTGGAATTTTTCTAAGTCCAAGGGGCATAACTGTCAAAAATTGCTCAATTGTACCCAAAACAGAACTTGACCTAGCTAACTTGACCTAGATATTTTTATGATAAATCTGTATACCAAATTTCATTTCAGTATGTGCAACCTCTGCCAAGAAAATGAACAGAAACTGTGGTGGACCAACAGACAGACCGACCGACAGCAGCAAAGCAATATGCCCTTCCTTCTTCGAAGGGGGGCATAATAAAGTATTTTTACCTGAGATAATGATAGGAAAAGATTTTTTCACTAAGTGAACAGAAAATTGTGGGC